CCTGCCTCTGCCTCCCAAGTGCTGGGATTAAAGGCGTGCGCCACCAAACCCGGCTTCAGCTATTCTTTAAAACAAATATTTTCCTTGTCTCTCAACTTGTATTGAGAAATATTGATCACACAAACACACTAGAAGCTAGCTTATATAGTGACCCTGAATTCAAAGGCTAAATTTGCTTGAAGTCTCTGAAACCTTCACCTGTTTCTGTGGCAGATTTACACTGCTGGTTAGGCCTCCATGGGAGGAACTGTGTGGATGCAGAAATAGGGAATTGCCATACAGAGTCTGTTATCTTAGTAGATATAGTGCTAATCTGTTGACCTTGGCCTGGATCATGTTTCATTCGAAGGGGTGACTTTGTCTTAGAGGGAGGTACCTTTTCTCCTATGTTCATGCTATAAATGTTTTTGTTATATTTTATAATTTTCTCTATACAAAAGAATTTTCTCAATACATTTGCTGAAGAAAGAAAGCACATTTAATTGTTCAACTCTAAGGAGGATAAGAAATACATGTTTGGATGAGAGTTTTGTTTCTTTCAAATAAATGAAATCATGACTTTATCTTAGCTCTTTGGAGAAAAGCCACTCAATAAATTCACTAAAGCCTGAAGCTTTGTACTGTCTCCATTTTATTCTTTGGGCTTTCACAGTTTGATGATTGGTTCCCTCTGTGTACCTACTAGTCCATCCCCACCTACAACTTCCCAGCCTCCCAAAACTACAACTGATTCATTCTGAGGGAAGAAAATGCAAATCTAATGAGACATTTGAAACATTAGAAACACGTCAACACTGAGACTGTCGGAGAGAAACAACAACTAATACATTTCTGAAGTATAAATAAATATACTTATATAAAAATAGCAACCAAGTTTATGCATATAGTCCTAATTCTATGTTTGTATATTCACATGAATGCATTTTCCCACTTTAACTGGAAACAGGGAAGGAAACTGAAGCTCACACCTCATCTAACTTCCTGAACATATACCCATGTGTTTTCCTTTAAGCCTATATATAGGAAGTACTGATTTAAATGTTATGGTTAAAAAGTCACAGGCTGTTTGATCCTAATCATCCTCTGGCATGGGGTATTTGAATGTTAGTGCATATAGGACAGGAAACAGACCATAGATCACACATTACAATATAGTTACGTGTAGGTATTCACCTGTGACACGGATGTCTCTTTTAATTGCTATCAGAGTACAGGTCTAGGCTAGGATTTTTTTCATTGAAGTATTGTGTCATTTTGCAGTCTTCCCTACACCATAGAATAAAGGCTTTCTTGAGAGAATGTAGCTAAGCACCACATTAGTCATGACTTTCAGAGGGAGAAAGTGAGGCATTTGGCATTCTGATACAATGGGACAGGTTGTATCCTTCCACAGGGGTGCAATGGCAATAACTTAGATCACACAGTTCAGCATTTTTTCTCTATCCTTCTGCTAGTCCAGCCAAAGCAACATTTTCCTTCCCTGAAACTTTGGGCTCCCAGTGTGTAAAATGTCGAAACACATATATGAAATAAAAATGAAAGGCTGCCTGTATTCCCAGAGCTGATAGGAGAAAAGTAATTTGTAAATTGACCCTGGGAATAGCATGGAAGTTTGTCACAGAAAGGTAATTTACTATGATCCACTGGTTATAGCATATCCAAGCCCTTATTAATGATTTTCATTTCCAGGCAGTAAAGCCCTGCAGGGGAGTCTGTTGTGTAAGTTTACAATTCTATGCCTCCTTTAGTTTTATTAGGACACCCACTTCAGGAACCAAGAGGACTCATTAATACTCAGTTCTAGGGTGGAATGAACAAGTCTGTTTTGGTTGTATTGTTGTTCTTTGCTCAAGTTCTAGGATGGAATGAACAAGTCTGTTTTGGTTGTATAGTAGTTCTTGGCTGTTTTGGACAGGCTCATTAGTTCACTTTCAAGTTCACAGCTTTGTTTTCGCTAGTCTTTCACCAAGTTCCCTATTGCACAAGTTGGCACCTCTGCAGGTCATCTCTGTATCTGCATCAATTCAGAGTACATCCCCACTGACAGTTTAACTGACCTTCATCATCATCATCATCATCATCATCATCATCAGTATCATAATGATAATACCTAGATGAGGTGCTGACAGTTCCAATAGAAAGGAAATGGAAGATGAAAACACAGAGGAAGAAGGGATTGTGATCCTTCAAGGAGATCCAATCCAGAAAGTGAATGGTTCCTCATCTTGGCCCTCTGTTGTTGTCCAGAGCCACTGCAGTCTTGTGGACTGGCAGCATGCTGAGGGGTTGAGTCTGTGTAAGTTCCAGGCTGCCGTGTAGCACACTGCCAACCCCACTGGGGTTACCACCAAAGGCCATGTTGATGTCTGTGGTCTGTGGTGCCACCTGAAGCCATGTTCATGTCTGAGGGCACTTGTTCCCTTGTTGACCTCGGCTGTTTCTCACACCTGTCACGGCCATCAAGTCTCCAGTTTGGCCTGTCTCCACAGCACACGCACTGCTCTTCCATCTTTCCCACCTCTCCGGGACACATTGGTTCATTGTATTGGCAGTCCAGAGGTGGAGCAGGGGGTTGGGGAAGAGGGCAAAGGGGTGGGGAGGCAAGAAGTTTGGGGGGTAGGGGGTGCGACAGGCCATGCCACCTATATAAGCCCTTAAACTTTTTAAAAATAACCTTACCCTTTCAGGACATTTGAAGATCTGTTCACTACCATTCTTCATTATAGAGCTGCTTCTTCTTCCCTCTGTCGCACAAAGTCTGACTGGGCAGAGGACTTCCACTGGCCACATGGGAGACTCCACGCTGAATCATTCCAAAGGGTAGAGAGAATGATTACGAGCTGACCACAAATTAAATAAGCAAGAAGAGTCTGAGTCGGAATTAGAAAAGTCTGCTGCGTTCTCGCATTGGAGCCTGAGTACAGTATGTATGCGCTATAAAAATCTTCCAAGTATTTTCAACCTACAATGGCAATAATGTGCTAGTCTTTGCAAAAGAAATTTTAAAATGCTCAAATATTTTGCTTTTAGTGAATGAATGAGTTCCAGAACTGTGTCGTTATATTAATGTTGAATTTTTGGAATCTAACATGTACCAGAGGAGCCCTATTTCCAGTTAAAACTAATAGTAACACAAATAAGTGATAAGCTTTAATAAAATCTTAGTGTAAAATATGAATTTGTATTTTGACCTTGTAATTGTTTTTTGCCTCTCCCATGTTGAGAATTCAGTAGCTCACTCTGTATCTTATTATCTTGTATCTTTATTTTTGCCTGTGTTTCCCTGACATTTTCCTAAGTACTCCTTGCAGACCACTGGTCTTTAGTTCTCCCACTGGTCCCATGAGTTAGGAGACATTTATCCCCATACATTGTAGGCAAAGAAAGCCCACATTCCTAGCCATACGACTTTTCTATTCCAGGATACTGGGTTAGCTACTTCATGAAATCTCCCCAGTCAACAAAGCAGTGGCATCAAGCCATGATGTGAGTCCTGCAGCCAACAGATGGGCCACACAGCAAGAAGACATGGAGATTAGGTACTAAGTAGAATGTCACTTTGTTTTGAACAGGCCCACTACCTTTCTTTAGCACCTTGCAAAATCAAAATCATGTTGGTAAAAGTGTTATAAATCGAATTGAAGAGGATTCCTAGTCCAAGTTTTCTCAACAAAAACAAAAACAGCTAAGAAATGTTGGTAAATTTTTCCTTGTGTCCAAAAACCAATATGATTTAATATTGAGAACATTGGATCAAGAAACAGGGAAATAAATAGGGTGTTAATCTCTATAGAGATTTGAGAGATCACTTTTCCAATTTAGATTCACTCTGTTCATCTATAATTGTTGTTCTAAAAAAATCATCTATACATTTGTTCAGTTAGTCAGTTGGTATATAGAGAATCAGAAATTGCTTGTTATGAACAAAATCTTTGGTCCAACTTTGGATATCAAGGCTATAGGTAACAGCTTGCTCCATTTTGATTCTGATAACTAAGCGGGGACAGGAGCAAGTTACTAGTTATTACTTAGTGCTAATTGGGTGGTGAGTGTAGCAATGGTAGTGTACAGTTTTCTGGGACAACATTTGGGAAAGGGATCTGGCTGAGAGAGGAAGACACAGAAGAAGCATTCAGGCAATGCTTCTGGAAGATGCATGAGAAAGGACAAAGTTGCTAATCAGCTGTCCAGATAAACAAAAGCAGGAGGAAGTGGTTGGAAGAAAGAGGAAGGGGTATTCCAGGGGTGGATAATACATAGACTCTACAGAGAAAAAATATCTGGCATATGCATGCAGATCTTCAAGGTGCTAACGTGATTGGAGTTTTGTAAGTATTGAGCTGAGAGTGTCTACACTTGAGTGTGTATGTGTGTGTGCAGAGTATAAATATCTCAACTGCACAGCAATGGGGAACCTGAAAAAAGTTACATAGAAAACCAGTATTTTAAAAGGGTACGTGGTAACTGTGGAGAATGATTACAGTAAGCAAACTTGGAGGCCAGGAGGTAGATTAGATGTAAGCCAATGCTTCTTGAACTTCAGTAGGTAACAGAATCCCCTCATGGCTTATTGAAACAAGAAGGCAAATCTGTCACACCAAGGCTAATGAATAAGAAAGTCTAGATCATGGTCTGAGAAAAGACATTTCTGGTATGTGGTCCTGATGCTGTGGTACTGATATTACCCACTCAATAAACAGGCAAAGAACCACAGCATTGATAGTAAATTCAAACTCTACAGTTCTCCCCCAGGGCCTTGCAGGTTTTGCTTCAAAAGCACCTGTCCTGTCATGAATGTATGTTTTATGCAATCTACACATTCTAGCCAGAAGCCTTTTTCTTAACATCACAGATGTCAGCTGATAAATTGAGTTAATTATTGTTATTTGTTTCAATTAAGTTTCTTATCTTTTTCTATTTTGTTTTTAATGAAAGCCTTTATGAATTGTTTTTGTAGGAATCTGGAAGTCAAGAGTGAGACATGTTGCTGCAATTAGTCTAAAATCCAATATATTTCACTGTTGAAATGAAAAGGGCCTGCCTCTCCAAAGTAAAACAAAATTGTGCTGATCACTTGGTTTGTAAGAACCTAAAGAAAAGTTCATTTTGGTTCACTCAAACTTACTTGTTTAAGTTTTATCTCTGAAGTTTTCCGGGGTGTATTTTATTTGATACGCCAGAGAAAATCTTCAAAATTTGCAACAGAATAAAAAGCAGATATGCTACCACACTGACTGAATGCTTTGTCTAAACTGAAATACAAAAGAGCAATTGAAGGCTGTCATGTTTGGGCTCAGATTCTAGAAATGAAACCTTGTTGGAAGAGGGGAAATAGCATCTGTTTTCTGTAGATTAAAAACCCAATAGTCCTATTTTGAACCTAAAACAACAAAAAGGTCACATCATAAGCTATGTACAAATCCAATGATCACAATGCCTTTTTTGTCCTCTGTATGAAAATAAAATCACCCTAGCAAAGAGAGACTATACCTCATTAGAAAATATAAGAGTTCCATTTACTTGGAAACAAAGTTGCATAGCCCTCTCATTATAATTGACAGCAAAGTTCTGTGTTAATTTTTTCATCAAGATGACAGTGAATTTGTACAACCATCAGGCTGTTTATATATCAAGAGTAGACAACTTCAATGCTGAATTATTTTAGCATCACAGACTCTACTAGTGTTGAGACATGTAAGAAAGATTTTTGTCAAAATAAAGTCAATCTGTAACGATTTTTATGACCATCTTGTGCTAATTTCCTTCTGGTGACTTTCCAGAGTTTCTCCTTCTATGGCATACTTGCAATACATCAGCAGCCACTTTATCTCCATATCAACCAACTTTCAAAATGCCTAGCCTCATTATGCTTGTCCAGAGTGTCCCAGTTGTGGTTACTAACGTCATAGTTCCTTTGAAAATGCAAGGATGTGCCCATGCATCTGAAAAATGTTGGCCACACGCATCTTCTTAGGAGGTTAACTGCAGCCAGCAGAACCAGTGAAGGTACTAATGAAGCAGATTCCATCGACTCAGGCATTTTCTCCCTGCATAGTGACTTGGTTTGTGAACTCGAGATGGGTTTCAGCAGGAAGGGATTGCAGCATCCCTGAGCAGTGGGCCATAATTATAATTACAGGTGTGGCACAGACAGCAGGAGAGGGTGAGCTCATAAGAGACAAAGATTTGCTCTGCTGGATCATCTGTCTTCACTGGAGAACAAAGAACACACGAGTAAATAAGCGAGTTACCATGTAAACAAATTGAGCAACCACCAACACACAACAGAGTGCGTGTTCCTCAGCCAATATACACACGCCTCTCTTACAGGAAGCTCTTGCTTTTCCCCGGTAGAGGTGAGTACTGCGCCCTGTTCTCTCCCAACCTTCAGTGGGTGGACAGGGGCCAATTGCATAACAGTAATGGAGCTATGTTCCTCCAGTCTTTCACCATCTCCCCCTACTCCAGTCTGTTTCACAATCATCACAAGAGGACAACACAAGCATTGACCTTGAATGAGAACGTTCAGGCCTCCTCACAGTCTCAGCAAGAAAGAGGACAGAAACCGTTCTTGTTCCTTTTAGTGTCCAATTCTAAAATGATAGGCATTGCTTTTGTTTTTCTTCAGACAGCTCTCTTTTAGGCCAACAGCAGATTCAGTTGGGTTTTAAGCTAATTGGAGCAACATGCTTTTACTTCTTCACTTTCAGATTTTCATAAAAGCAATTTGCAGGGCTTGGAGCCAGTTTTCTACTGGAAAAGCAAATCAAAGGAGTACAGCAATTATGCAAATGATAAAGAAAAAAATCACTGCAATACAATCTCTTGTTTGCCTACCTTCAGGCAGAGCAATTACACCCCTCTCTCTATTTTCTGCTGTGCCCTCAACAACTGGTTTGCCTGTAGGCTGGGTGGTGAAGGACAGTGTTGAGGTTCCCCAGGGATGGTGTTTTGACACAGCCAGAGGAAGATCATGAAATGGATTAGAAGTGTTGTCAGGCTGGCAAGCTTTTGATCTAGTATTCATAAGCTAAGTAGAACAAAGTTTATGGAGAAAGCTAGAAAGGGGCTTTAAAAGAGTAACAGCCATGTTTGCTCTGCTTGAACTCTTTTTATTGTTGTGACTTAACCAAAATCTTAAAGCAAAACAGTTTCCTTCACATCAAAAATTTGCCTTTGGACATAGTGCTGATGACTTGAAGGTGACAGCTGCTGAAAGGTTTTGGGGCATGGCATTTGTTAAATTAACAGCAAACTTTACAACACAATGGAAGACTCTTTCTTAGGAGCCTGGGTGGTGGTGCTGAAAATAGCCAAAATAATAGACATATAATTATCAAATTTCTTGTGTTGTAATGCATACAAAATTGCATTCCTATACCACTTTGCATACATTAGTTTGGCTACTGGCAACTTGGAGGTCAGAGGAGAAAGTTCAGTGTGTACCAAGGGTGGCTTGATCAAAAAGAGATGACAGGAAGCCGAGCCTTGACTTCATAAGGAAAAGAATGGCTGTATTATCCTTTAGAGGGAGTGGACAAAGGCATAAGGGCAAGGCCACTCACAGTTATAACAGATTAGAGTCATTGACAGGCTAGCTCTGTTTTCAAGTAACTTCTTGTTGTTTTCCAGCAAAAAACAAGCAGCTTTGTGGTTACAATTTGCTTGGAGCCACCCAGAAAAGGACTAAGGCCTGCTCTTAGTGAGAACCACTCTTACAAAGCTGAGGCTGGAGTGTATGTCACAGAGGGCTACAGGCCTCGGCTACCAAAGCTACATGTGTGTTACATCTCCTTGGGATGTCAAGGCTCTAGGGAGCATAAGATATTCAAGTCTCCTCATGGAGGAGAGTACACACACACACACACACACACACACACACACACACACACACACACGCCCTTTCTATTAGTTACCTGACTCCAAGTGGTGAAGACTGGATGCCTTGTAATACCACCCTCCAAACAGGCACACTCATCACTCATCACTCATCCAGGGGAAAGTAGAAAAAAGTGGAAGAAGGTGTTGGGGAAGAGAACAGAGCATAAGAAGGGGTGGGGCGGAGTGGGAAGGGTGGTGAATGTGAGATACAAGGATAGTGGGGGTGGGATGCAAAGATTGTGGGGCTGGATTCACAGTTAAGGAGGAAGCTGGTTCGGGGTGCCTGTGGTCCTCAGTTAAGGACCTGATAACCTCTGGGATTCACAGGGAATGACACAGCTTGTCCCACAGCAGGCAGGGTTTGACATAGCAGAGTAATTATAAATCTGTCATCCATGGTGGTAACAGATTCAGCAAAATATCCTAGAAGGCCTCAAGAGATAGTTCAGCGGTAGAGCACCTGGCTAGCATACTGGAGGCTCTGGGTTCAGTAATTAGTGCCAGAGTGGGGATAGTTCTAGAAGAGGAGGAGGTCTGGGTGAGACATAGTACACATTAATTGAAGACAAACAGCAATTAACAGGAAGCATTTCTGATAGAGTTATAATAATATTGCCCAGGGGGGAGGTGTTACAAAGGGAAGTATAAAAATAGAGCTGCCTTTAATATAACCACCAGAGGGAATGGCCAAGTGAAGGTGGTTTCATATACCCTCATATGCCATGTTTCTTTGCAAATGCTTCATTGACTGTGAACAGTAAATGCCTTGTGTATGCAAGTCATTAGTTTTCAAGATATGAGTGCTTTCACAGGTGTAGGTTTCAATAAACACATGAGCATTTGAGCACCAGCCCCCTCATTTCCAAGGATCACTAGATTAGAGTAAGAGGCAGGTCAGTATCTGGAATGATGCAAGAGTTACTTTGCAACTGTCATCAAGGTCTCACCCACTTCTGAGATTCCTGGAGGCAAAGCCTTATTCTGAACCCTGTCTAGGGGCTACTTTCTCATCATTTTAAGTTTTCCTTTGACCCACTCTATTTCTATGGCCTCAATGCTCTAGAAATTTCCATCCAAGGTGAAAAGACATTACAAGCTACGTACCTGTAGACAATCTCCACCCTCTTTCATCAGCAATGTCCACTGGGACACTTGTCTTCTTCATTGTTTCATGTACCAAGAAGACAATGGTCTTCTTCATTGTTTCATGTACCAAGCATTCAGCTATCTCATCCCTCTCAGTGACTCTGCTGTTAGTTGCTGCCATCCAACGTCAGAGCTGAAGGATCTGGAGGCATGAAGAAGAGGCATGGCGATAACCTGAGGGGAGAAGGAGATCTGAGGCTAGCTAGACCCATACATTTGACTGTGACAAGTTAAGAAAGAATTTTCCTTTCTAGAGGATAAAACGGAGTGATAATTTTGGTCACTCTCAGCTTAAACTCAGCTCTGTCTTCCCTATATCTTCCCCGTAGTGAAATGTTAAGACATTTTAGGAATCAGTGCTTTAAGCCAAGGGTGGCTTCATTCTTCTAATTACAACCATTAAGGCCATTAGACCCGAATAATACATAATATTACTAATAATATTCTTTTAACAGTTAATATATTATAACATACTACAGTGTAAGAATAATATCATATATTCCTTATATGCTTATGCTGTCTGAGGTTGGGTCCTGAACTGGAGGAAGCCTGCAGAGAAATAAACAGATGCTGTTCTACTGAGGAAGGGCTTGTATTGTCTTTAGTATTCAAATGATACTGAATTCAAGTTTTGATTGTGTCAAGAAGCTGGGCCCACTCATAAAGAAGCCAAACCTTTAGAAATAGGACATTGGCTTTCTGACTGTAAAAGATATGTAAGGATACCTTTTGACCTGGCTATCTAATGGATCTTTAGTAGAGGGAGAAGATACAAACAAATATCTCCATTTAGGATATGAGATAATTAAGGTCTATTAGAGTTTAATTACTTGTCCTAAGTTCCATGAGAAGGCAAACCCAGAATGTCATTATGTACAGTGTAAACCTTCCCTCTCTTGATGGTTCCTAGGCAACAGCATAAACCTTTCTCTTTATGCTCCTGAAGCTACTAGGTTGTCTTTCAGAAATAGTAACATTTTTGTGCTTGGAATCTAAGTCTCTCAGTTTTAAATGAACAATTGCAGGATTGTTGCAGGCTTCCTGCTTCTTCATGCCTTACTTTGGCTTCCTTGTATGAAAAAGTGCTTTACATAAATATCAAACAATTAGAGAGTTGAGACAAGCCCCAAAGGACTCTTTATTTCTGCTTTCAGTTTTCAATATGGAAGAGTATCTTACAATATTTTTCAAATAATAAAGAAGTTCTTTTAAAACAACAACAAAAAAGACCTCAGTGCTGATTGTCCTGGCCTTTAATAAGAGGCTTAGGTGGGTGATGGTAAGAGGCCTTTAGGATATACATAACGAGGCCTTTAAGCTTTCATTATTACCCAGCCCACAAGATCTGTCATGTTTTATTGGTTTTTCTGGTTAGTCATTGTATGGTTTGGCAGCTTAGTAGAATTTCACATTTTTGGAAACAATAGTGTGAACAAAGATTGGGTTTTCTTTCTGCTATATGTTATTCTATTTGCTCTGAGTATTCAGAAAGCCTCCCCTGTATCCAACAAACTATGCAGTCTGTCCTGTGCTGGCCCATTCTTTTGATCAGGGGTATTGTGTTCATGACTTGGACTCACAGACTTTTCAGAAAGGTATCAAGGAATATATGTTGGTTGGGGGAAGCACTGGGATAGTGGCATGAAACAGAAGCTGCAGAAGCATTCATTCTAAAAGAGACAGATAATTGCTAAGGATGATTTGACAGTGGTAAGCCTAGAACTAGCCCTCTCTCTGTGTGGCCACATGTGTATATGGGATACAAGGCTGATTTAGTACATTGTCTATAAGCAATGGGACATTGGTACATACAATGTATCCAACACAGCATTAGCCCTTCGTAAATATTAAGAATCTAAATTTAGACTTTTTAATACGATGTTTTTTCCTTAAAGAATTTTCCAGACTGTCAAAAGAAAACCACTCAGAAAAAAATCATTTTCTTTACTTCTAATTTATGCAATCACAATTCAAGCTGAGTTTTAAAATGTAAAGATGTTTTAAGTTAGCAGCTAACTCAATGACTCACTAATAGCAATGTATAGTTGTTGTAATCTATGTATGATTAGATACTAGAAACAGAAAAATGTGCTTTGGTTTCTAAAAAAAAAAAAACTTACTTTCATAGTTTAGAAAGTCTTTTTCTGTTCTGCCAGACAGCTCCCAAATCACAACATGGAGGTAACTTATTAATTATGAATACTTGGTCAGTAGCTTAGGCTTGTTTCTAACTAACTCTTATAATCTAAATTAATCAATCAATTTCTACTAATTTATGTCCTGCCATATGACTCCATGGCTTGTTACCTCTCCTCCTTCACGTCCTGCTTCCTCTGTGTCTCCTGGCATTTCCTTGTGACTCTTTCCAGCATCCTCTCTGCCCTGAAAGAAAATCCTGCCTAGCTATTGGCTATTCAGCTTTTTATTAAATCAATCCAAGATACACATCTTCACAGTATACAAAAAGATTATTCTACAACATAGTATTTGAAAGGATAGTTTCATTTTGATACTTTAGATTACATTTAAACTAAGCGTTGTGAATTGGTGTGTCTTTTAGTGTGTCTCTGTGTGTGTGTTCCTGCACTTCTGCACCTGTACATGCACTTGCTCAACATGTAGTGCTTGCAGAGTTCAGATGTTAATATTAGGATTCCGTCCTAAATAATTTTTGACCTTGTATTTTAAGATATGGTCTCTCAGTGTACCTAGAACATGTCTGGCCAGTGAGGCATCAGAATCCATCTACCTGTGTCCATCTCTAAAGTACTGGGATTATAGGCTCACATTGCCACATAAGTTGTTCAGGGGTTCTGGGGATTCAAATTCAAGTCCTGATGCTTGTGTAAGTACCATACCAAGTGAGTCATCCCTAGCACTAGTGTTGTGAATTTCAGGTGCCAGTCTTCATTTTGAATAAGAGAGTGAATCTGTTCCAAGGAAGCCAGTGTCTCTGCTTCTAGTTTGACTAATGACCAACCATAGTTTTTGTTTTGTGGGGTTCTTGTTTTGTTGTGTCTTGTTTGTACTTCCTCTTTTCTTCATAGTCAGCTAGTACTTGTTGATTAATATGAGGACTTTGAATGAAAATGAACATGAAGGATACAGTGTATTTATAGCTCAGCCGTAGAGCATTTGATAAACATGTGCAGAGCCACAGGCTTAATAGCCAGGTAAACACACACACACACACACACACACACACACACACACACACTACTGTAAAACTAGTATGTTCTGACTTTTTTCTACACCAGAGTAATTTTAATGCTAAACACAGAGTGTGTTAAATAACTCTTTAGGAATGAGTTTCAGAAGCCTTTCCCAATGCCTGATATTTCAAACCCTATTCAAGACCACAGCTACCGTCATCAGTTGAAGAACCACCAATACAGAGATCTAGTGGATAGCATCCATTTCAAGTTGGTCATATATCCTAGGGTCTCAGAAACAGCTCAAATGCTTCTGAGAAGGCTAGCCTTATATCTTCCCTTGGTTGCCTTGAAGATCCAAAATAAACAGACCTTACTGATTTATAGCCACATCTCAACTCCCTGGCCATCATATAGCTGGGAATCCTCCTATAGAGAAGTCTTCAGAAGGGGACTGGAAGTGGTCTGAAATTATGTATCAGAGCTGAATAGAAGTTAGGACAGGCAAGGGATGTTGGTGTTTCTCTGCTAACAAACACACATTTGGCTGTCCAATCAAAATTAATCTCTAATGGTATGCCTTGGATACTTAATTTTATCATTAAGAAAAGGCACTGCTATCTATGTCTTGAAACCAGTGGGAAAAGGTAGCATTATCAGCCTTATTTGCTCCTCAGGTTACTAATTAGACTCTGCATTATCAACAAACTTCTCAAGATTTTTGCAACATATATTGTTTTGAAAAAAAATCTGGATATCTGTATTTTCCCCAAAAGTATTTCAGGTAGCTTATAAAATATAACAGGTTATTTCTTTGTATATATTTATGTTTATACATATTTCAAAGCTTGGGACCCCAAAGCAGGATGTCTTCAATGTTGCTTCTTTACTTCCACAGGCGGGACACGCACAATAACCACAATCAACAGAAGAGCAGCAGAGATGCTTTGCTCTGTGTTGACTGTGCTGGTCATTCCAGCACAGTCATCATCTGGAGGCATCTGCCACCTGAAACTGGGCAGAGCTGCCAGACCAGCCACAGGCAGCACCGCACACCCAGGAGTGTTGTCAGATGCTCTTGATGTCTCCACCTTTGGGTGTTCACCAAGGAGCAATGCCACCCAGAGGTACAAGGCTGAGCAGTAATTGTTAGGTGTCACCTTCTGCTGGGAAATAAGATCATTAAGAGTCTACGTTTGTGCCATTATTTACAGACAAGATGGGAAATAATAACCCTTAAACTGGACCATGCTGGGTCTGGAGAACATTTGACTTTTTTAAGTTCTTCTCCTTACCAAATGAGATTACAGTTTGGATGTATTTCAAGGATACACAGCCAACTTGGCTTTGACACCCAGAGTCTTATGGGCCAACCTGGACCCCTTCAGTCTGAAATTTTCAAGGCCTTGTCTCCCCAAGTCTTTTTCCTTCACCATTATGTTGCTTGTATTCACAGCTTATTGGTGCCAACAGAAAAGTTGGCTGGTAAGTCAGGAAAAATACAATCAGTTCAAACTGAAGCTTGCTAGTCACACGGTTGAAAGATTTGGTATGGAAGGAAGTGGGTTTTCAAGTGAATGTCAACAAACTGTTAGCTCTATTAATCTATAACATATTTGATATAATTTATCAAAGAGCACATCCTACTATGTTCCCTCATTATGAATGTGTCCCTGACTATGTTTTGCACGAAACCTTTTCCACCCACAGTGTAAAGGTAGCATTCCCTTCACATATGCCCTCTACACAGTATTCTTCTGATTCTGGATGCTTTTCTTAGGGATAGGCTGAATGGTTTCACATTATTAAAATGTATGTGCTGAAACATGATGCTGAGTAGAGAAGGTATTAGCAGATTGAGCCTTTGGGATGGAGCCCTCCTGACTATGCTCAGCACATAGAGCTAGCTACCTTGCAGCTTTCACTAGTGGAAGACAGACGAAAGGTCTATGATAGACCTCCACCAGTCTCCAAGTTTTCTGTCATGTTAATCTCCCATCTTCCAATTTCAGGGAATTTCTT